GAGAGCATATTAGATGCGATGAAGAGCCTCCTCTTACTATGCAAACCTAAAGATGAAGCTCCTTGACATGTACTTCACCTTCATTTAGCTTCTCTCTATTGGGTGACAGTCATTAAAGAGCCTAAAAGTCGTAATATTTCTATTGCACTAGGTGATAGTCATCAAAGATGATTTGACAACTCATATAATTGATCTCTAGACTTCGCAAGAAGATCTAGAGATTGTTCATGTCATTCTTGTCCAAGGAGAGCCTTTGAGGTTGTGGACACTACACGACGATCCTCTCGAATGCTCAGAATTTTGGTACATTGTCGGCACATAGCCGCCACGACACTAAAACTATGTTTTCCTACTTTCAACTTAATTTTCACTTTATTTAGTGATAATTTGTCTAATTTAAATCTACCAAATTATTCTTCATTTAATTCTGATTCGTCTGACTTTTATAAATCTTAATTTGATCAATTAAATCATATTATAATCACTTATACAAGAATCGTCAGATAGAACTCTATTTTTGTCCGATTCACATTCGTTGGGTGCTAACATCATCACACTTATTTTCCTTTTTCATGAATTTTAAATATGTTTTATTTTCATTTATTAGTATAAAATTTATAAAAAATCATATTTTTTGAGAAAATTCTAAAAACTTATCCAATATTACATTACATCCCTATGATTGACTTAAAAATTTTCTACTATTTTTAGAACTTTTATCAAATTATAATTAGTATATTTATTCAAAAACACTTATAAATATCTAAAAAATTATATTTTCTAGTTTTATAAAATTTAAATTTGTGTGATTTATTATACAACAACTAAGTCACGTCAGTGTTCTTCTTACTCGTGGAGAAACTAGACAAATATCCACAAGTATGAGTATAATGTATATTCCCTAAGGAACCGCTTTCTTGTTGGTGTAATGGCTGTCACCCATCACGAGCTTGAAATTTTTTTGTGTCATATGATGGTGCTCACCAAGATGCACCAGAACCCACAGATGATAATCCTCCAACTTTGCTTTATTGGAGGATGAGGGAGAAGACAAGAATTTTGTGATACTTCAAGGATGAAAAGGAGAGAAAATGCACTGCAAATATATGTTTTTGGAGCGAAGAGAATGTGAGACAACCTTTTCAAAGAAGCTCAAAAACCTCATGGGAAAAGATTTAAGACAAGAGCAGTCCATGCAATGAAAGTCTTCATTAAAATACACCTTTTGCTAGAGCCTCCTTCATGGTAAATGGGTTGAAATGGATTCATGACATGAAGGGGTATATAAAGATGGTTCCCCTTCTCCTTATGGTCAACTTCTTCCTTCAAAGCCTTGTGGATGGGTGAGGGGTGTTATGATCTCTCAAAATCTAGTCAACTATCCTTTCTTTAAGTGACCATTTTGATTTGTCATGCCACCTTCTCCCTCTTCATTTCCTACAATTAATTTACATTAAGTAGGCATGTGCTTAAATGAGACCCACATGAGATACTTAAAGGGCTCTCCACCACTCAATCTCACAAGAGATAATATGACATCAAACGAAATATAAAACACCCCCATAATTAATAGAAATTGGATACAAGTCCATAATGAAAAAACCCTCCTTTGTTATCCTTAAAATTCCGAATATCATCTAAATAAATTTTAAAAAAATCTCACATTTTTCTCAATGGTTTTTTTAAGTTTTAAAAAAAAATTCAATCAATAAACCATGTGAAAACTCTTCACTATAATATGTTAAGCTCATAGATCACATTTTAAATATAATTTGTGCCTATTGCATGCAAATTGATCAAATCATAATAATAGTATCTTATATTAAATTCAAGATATTATGCTTACTAGATATAAATAAAATATATGCATATGATCCTAATTATGCAATATAAGTAGAGTATTATTAAACTTGAATAAGCTCTATCCCACAATTTGAAAGAAGAATATCTAGAAATTAGAGATGCCAAAAATAAGCCAGCATTAATCTACAAATTTGTAGTCTGGAGATACTTGAGATGAGCCACCTCCAATCTTTCCAACTTTTCATAGCAGCAGGATATATATATTTGTATAGTGTGTGTGTGTGGGGGTGTGTGTGTGTGTGTGTGGGGGTGTGTGTGTGTGTGTGGGGGTGTGTGTGTGTGTGTGGGGGTGTGTGTGTGTGTGTGTGTGTGTGTGTGTGTGTGTGTGTGTGTGTGTGTGAGAGAGAGAGAGAGAGAGAGAGAGAGAGAGAGAGAGCATTACAATTTACTAATGCTAATTGGTTGTCAACTTTTGGGGTCTAAATAATGATCCTCATTGTGTTCAATTAGTACCCACAATTCGTTCTTCTCTCTTAAAAAAATTGAGCAGTAGCTAGTCTCCTAGTTTCCTAGCTCTCAACTTCACATATAAGCATGTGATGGGGTCGTTGTGGCTCTCCCCTCTCTTCATTTTCTAATGTGGGGGCAGAGTCCTCATTTCGAAAACTTGGATTATGAGAAAATAGTTCTCTAATGACTACAAATGACTAATAATTTGATCTTTGGCTTGTAGGATGTGAGATAATCATATAATTTCATTCTTAATTGATAATTACCAAGCTTGTAATTAATTCAAAGAATAGGTTCACCTCTCAAGAATCATATGGATCAATTCTAATTTATAATTGCAGGTTCATGAATTCATTTTTAATTGCTATACTTATATATTTTAATTTGCCACTTCTAATTCTAAGTTATAATAACTATACTTTAGATTGGGTATTCTACTAACAATGAAAGAATTAAGTTGATGTTTAACTTTGACATATCTCATTATATATTTGAGAGAGAGAGAGAGAGAGAGAGAGTTTAGGGTGATACAGCTATCATCACTGCCGTGGTCCCAGACAACGCCTCCAGCCATCTTCAACCTCGGTGAACACCCAGCAAGAAAGCGTGTGTAGGGCGCCATGGCACCCGCTGTGTACAGCAAGGGATGAGGACTTGTAGTCGCTCTTAGTCAGGTTTTCCTCCACAGAACTATGATGGGGAAGGAGAGGCCGCATAGTCCGTAGAAAAGAACACCGCGTTTGCTGGGGGAAAGGAGACGGAAGCTTTAATTTCTTGTAGCCCCACGCACACGCTCATGGAGCAGAAAAGTACTGACGTCGCCTCAGGCTATCACGGCCAAAAAACGATGCACGATTCCGACATAACATGCCAACAGGTGCAGATTTATTTTCATATATTATACTAATATACAGTTTAGTCTAATGTCAAATTATGACTTTGTGCGGTGAGGTGGCCTTGGCGGTATTTATTAAATATATGGCTCTACTAAATTGTAATGAAAAGAGTAACCTATAGTATGTAGATGATAGACATGTTGACTATTGCAAAAGTCAATTTATTCGAGGTAGAAATAATATTAACGTAACATTGAACTAGTGAAGATAGCCACCTATAGTTAAAAATCAGAAAATAAATAGAACTGAAGTTAACATATTTATCACAAGTTTTTGCTCTGTTGGGTATAAGACTAGAGATTGTTAATGGTTGTAGCCTTAGAATTTTGGCGCAACAATAATCTTGCCACAAGATACTCCCTTGTGTTGCATGAAAACTTGTGGATTTTATCGAAGTAAAGATTTCCTCTTTTCGAGTCAAAAATTGGTCAGAAATAACCGATTGTAATTACTTCCAAAATTACATACGTGTCTAATACTGAATTTACGGTTGGGATGGTGTTGAACAAGTATGAGGAATCGGCCCCATTAGAGGTCAGAATTGAGGACTTGTGAAGGTCACGGTCTATCCTTGGTCAATATTAGATCAAACACTACTCAGCACAAGTGAGTCAACTCTTTTCATGTGTCTCCTTGGTTTTAAGAAAGTATAACAGACTAATATGCATTCAGTCCTAATTTTTCTCTAGTTATGTCAAGTTATGATAGAATAATGACACCATTAGAAGAATAATGACTGGTAGCAGCTCACAGCTGGGTTTTCCGCCGCGGAGGTATGATAGGGAAAGAGAGGCCACATAGTTCATAGAAAAGAACATCCCATCTGCTGGGGGATGGAGATAGACGCCTTGGTTTCTCATGGCCCCAAACACACTTAGGAAAACAGCGCCTCCAACTACCACGGCCAAGCAAAGATACAAGATTCTGACAAAATGGGCCATTGGGTGCAGATTTATTTTGATACGTTTTATAATATATATACGTATGGTTTATTTTAATCTCAAGTTATGACCTCTGCCATCCACTAAAGTTCCAACCCCCGCGGGGAGGTAGCCTTGACAATATTTATTAAACATAGGGCTTTGTTGCATTATAATGAAACAAGTAACCCAAAATTGAGTTGAAATTTCTAAAATATTTTTATTTACCAAACTTTCAAAATACATAGAAGATAGATGCGTTTTTACTATTAAATAGTTAACTCGTACATAATAGAAATGATATTAGCATAACGATATAATAGTGAATGATGGCCACCTATAGCTAAAAAATATTAAAATAAATAAAACCTAAAGCTAACATATTTATTACAAAACTTTTTTCCTTTCTTCATGGGGCCAGAGATTTTGGTGCAACAACAGTCTTTCACACTATAATACTTTCTTGTCTTGCATGAAAACGAATGGATTTTATCAAAGTAAAGATTTCCTCCGTTTGAGGCAAAGGATGGTCAGAAATAACCGATTGTAATTGCTTCAAAAATTATCAACAAACATCTAAAAGGGAATTTACTGTTGCGGTAGTGCTGAACAATCACAAGGATTGGCCATGCCACACGTTATCATGAGAAAGGACCTCAGCTCTCATTAGGAGTAAAAATATCTAGGTGAACTTAGTATAAGACTATTTGAACCACAATTTTTTTGTGTGACCATGATATTCCATCTCAACTGCATCCATCTTATTTTACACACATTATTCATATATATACTATTATCATCCCCACTGTGGGTGCATACCTTATGCAAATATTTTTTGAGGATATGAATACTTAAACAAAGGAGCTAGCCATCATATGATGCTCTTTCGTTGAGAAGCCCTCTTCTTCTCCAACCTGTAGAATACACTCCCATCATAAACAGCCCTCACATCCTCCTTGGACAAAAATCCATCCTTGTCCTTGCAAAGATAATAAAGTACCCTCCACTCCAAGAAAGCAGCAAGCCTAAAAAAAATTTCGAATTTAACATAATTAGGGAATCTGTCAAGCCCTATGGCTTTAAAAATTATTAAAATATCATTTCTAAAGCTCTTATACCACTCCAATTCCAAAAACATTGACAGAAGGTGTCATACTTACAATGCACATTTACATTATCATATTCACCATTTTTAATGTGAAACTATTTAGATGCCATGTAGCAAATTTTGTTGTTGAGAAATAAATGAGAAACTGTACCGTCCAGCATTATCGTTGGGAATTTTGTTAGCTTGCAGCATGTCCTTTAGCTCTTTAAGAGTGAGAACGTTTGTGTTAGTTCTTGCGTGCTTCTCAAAGATGGCCTCAAACTTTTCTGGTACAAACCTAAAAACCAAAGTTGTCTCAATCGTGAGGAATTTTTAACTAAAACTTTTTAAGGGACTCAACACATTGATTTGACAAAAGTAGCTCAATGAAAAGCGAAAAATATAAGTATTTGCATGCACTAAGTATGATATTGGTTGTTAGTATTATTAGTCAGTTTGAATGAACCCAGAGAGTATGTGAATTGAAAGAATATTGTTTACTATATAGATTGCCTCCATTTCCACCCAAAGGGATAGAGGGGTAACCGGACCTCCATTGGCTGATGAACAAGAAAGCATGCCCAGGAGGTTCTGGGTCAAATAAAACTTGGTCATTGAGTTGGGTCAATTATACTGAGGGAATTCTTAAATTGGGTCTTTGAACCTCCCGGTAAACCATATATTTAGTGCCCCACACAGGAATCACTTCAATTCAAAATGCCAGAACCAAGTCCTCTTTTCATGGACTAATGGTTAGTTCCCCTGTCCTTTATAGGATATAACCGTATCAACGATCATGTAGAGTTGAAATAAGGAAAATAATCATCCCAGAGATGATTGATTAATTGGCGAACGATTGATAAGATAAATGTCAGTCATCCATACCTTCCCTCAGCGTCGTAGGAACCCGTGTCGCACCCGTGCTTACCTTTGTAGATGGTGCTCACGTAGATGGGAAAGAGAGGAGATGGCATCTTCCCCTGCGTTCAGATTTTCAACTTTCAGAGAAGGACAGAGGCGGAGACCATCGAGTAGAGAGGAAGGGGCGCTGTACTGGTCGAGTTATCAGGCCGAGGGAGATATTGATGAATATGGTGCCGGCAGTAGACAATGCAATTCCGCACCCGATCGCGCGGAGCCCTGCACCACCGTAATCCCATTTCGATCATTTCGTTTAAGCAACAAAAGAGTAATTTTCTTGAAAAATGGGTACTTGGCCAAATAAGAACTGGTAGACCCTTGGAAGGCCCCGACTAAATCACATACGAAGGGCTCGCTCACGAAGAATAAGACGGTAATGATGATGATGAGGGAGATGAACCTTGATAGGTCTCTGAAGGGTAGATGAGGCCGTCCTTGTTCCTGTCGAAGAAGTCCACGTGTTTCTGCAGTGGCGTCATTTCGCCGCGACCGGCGATGGCGTCGGCTGCCTCCATACCTGTCGTGCACAGCAGCAACCATTAGGTGAGCCTGTCACGGCGCTCAACACACCGAAAACCAAACTGCTCCTTAGGGATTCCAATCGGCTCCCCCTCATGGTACCAAAGAAGATCCAGACGCTGCAGGCGAAGCAGTCGACACCTTCAATCTTCTTGCTGGTTTCAGATGCTGCTTTTACACTCCTATATATAGAGTGAGAAAGAGAGGGAGTGAGAGAGAGAGAGAGCGTCGAAACGTAGGGGAAGGCATGATGGCTTCAAGTGGCTTCGTTATGAAGCTGAAAAAGGCGGTTAAGTGGCGTGTCGACAAGCTCTACCGGCCCATGTGTCCTACAGCGGTGCCGCCGAGTGATTGAACCTTCTGCCGAGTCCCATCTCAATCGAGAGGTCGGGAAACACTGGCTTGGTGGGGACGCCGGAGCTCCTCACTCCCGCAAGAGATTCTCCTCGCCGCTGGCGACACGCCAATTAGTACCTTCTGTCCGACGGAATGGTGACGGGACGATTTTGACTCGCAAACAATCACAGGTGATTCTCCGGGGGCCGTCAGAAAATAGTTCACATCGTCTGCCACGTTACGACGTGAGGCGAAACTCGATGGCACGTGCCATGGTAGCACGTCTTTTTATTAAGCGTGTATCTAAATATATTTCATTTTATTTTCCAATTTTTTATTTACATACACTTCCACCGGCTCCTAACTTATTGGATTATGGATAAATATTATCCCCTCTTTACGAAATCAGCACGCGAATCGGAAACTCGGGTCGACCCGGGAACAAAAATTAAGCAAGCCCTTCTAAATATTTCATTCAAGAAATGTGAAGGACATCAAATTCAGAAATTTACGTCTACATTTATTAGGATCAACTGATAAATTTTCCTCAGATGGACGTCCTCGGGGCTCGAGTGAGGCTTGAATGACGAGTATCTTACTTGTGCTACACGTGTGTTAACTCAGAAGAAGCTTAACACCCGTTTCTAGTCATTTGGCACTCGTCTGTAGGAATGAAAACCTGAAATAGGAGACTAAATCGTGCCAAAAATGGGTGAAATAAGTCAAGGAGAAAGAGGAAAAGAAGGACGCCCATGGCTGTTCGTGAGCCCTAAATCGAGGAGAGAGAAAACATTGAGCCCAATTGATTAAAATAAGAATAAATCATCTTTATAAAGAGGCAGGAGGAGAGAGAGAAGGGTAAAAGAGTAACTAATAATAAAAAATTATGTTTAAAGTGAGTCAGTCCACTTTAGTCAAAAATGACGCTTCCTTCTCCAACACGCCATCAACATTCAACACTGAACTCTGTGGAAAGTTGATGATACTAACTATTTCACAAAACTTGATAACATTTAAATAACTTAATGCCTTCGCCAATTCATCATCAACTTGATCTTTTATTACGCAAAACTTCATATCAATTAAACCTGCGCTAACTTGATCACAAATAAAATGATAATGAATCTAAATATGTTGAATTCGTCCATGAAACAGTAGATTCTTAATCATTGATCTGGTTGGCTTATTACCACAATATATCACCATTTGACTGGATTGTATCAAATTAAAATCCTCCATGATCCTCCTCATCTATATAGCTTCATGTGCAGCTCATGATGTAGCAACATACTCAACCTCAAATGATGATAATACTATAGTTTGTTTTTTTGTTCTCAAGTTACTATAGTTGATTTAAAATTGAAAATAAATTCACTTGCGATCTTTATATCATTTATAGAATAAACTAATTTAAAGTGAGGAACATATTTGTATAAAATTTCATAATTACTAATGTCACAAATATAGCAAACAATTATCTTTCCTGTTCTAAGATGATGTGTCATAGACAGGACATAAATCTAAAAATCAAATTGACTAAAATCATAATATTCAGCATACTATGAGTTAAATATATCAATTCACAAACTATACCTTTATGAAATCATTTATCTACTTTTAAAGTGACATCATCAATGCATAATTTTTCACTTGTATATTTATATGAATTGAATAAGGATTGTAATTATGCATATTAAATTTTTTGAGAAGATCTAGAACATATTTCTCTTTTGAAATAAATATGCCATAAGAAGCTTGAGAAATGAGGAACAAGCTCTTCAGCATACTTTACTTTGTATAATTTAAAGCCTGAAAATATAATGAAGCAATCACAAATTTATCATATTAAATTCAATAATCCTAGAAGTTTTGAATTCTCAAAATTCATAATGAAGATGATCTAGTATATAAACATTATCTACATATATACATACTATCAAAATATTCTCTTCTATCTCCTTCATATAAAGTGATGGTTTTTAGATTAATTCTAATCTTAAGTTCTGTTGATGCCATTCATTTTGATACTTTCATATGAAAATTTATTTAGATTATATTTACAGAATATTTATTGAATATTTACTAAATAATAAATTAACTTCATGAAGACTTGTTAAAAGTTTGATATCCTTGAAAAATATTCAAAATATACATTGATGATGCTTGAATAATTCTATGACTAACAAATAATCAATTATATCCTTTATATATTATTATTTCGAATTTAATTTAACATCATAGAGTTCCCCTATGAAAATTATTTTGATGAAGATAAGAGCCAAGTCAATCATACCTCATGGTATTTGTTTAAGCTCACATAATATTTTCTTCAACTTTAAATCTTTATCCCTTTTAACATTATTCATAAATTCCTGAGGTTTCTCAATGTACATCTTCCTTTAAATGTCTATTAAAGATACAGACCTAGCATGAAATTGAAAAATCAACCACTTCATTTGAGCTACTTTTAACAAAATAATTCTAACAATTTCAAATCTAGCAACAATAATTTTTTTGAACTAATTGATACCATATTGCTGCACATCTTGTTGCCACTAGATTTGTCTTATATTTCTACACACTTTCATTTAGATTACATTTGATTTTGTAAATCCAATTCACATCAATGGCTTCATATGTTGATGATAGATCCACAACTCCCATATTTTCATTATTTTCAATTGAAGTATTTTCTTTTTTCATAGATTTCTCCCATTCTTTTCCTTGAGTCTCTTCATAACTCCTTGATTCTACAGCTATTATAGAAAAATATACTTGAGTCACATCTCATTTTTTAACACCGTACATTGATTAGAAGAATTGACTCAATACTAGAATCAATGTGGTTCTCAATGCCACTAAAATGGCTTAGAGTTTCTCTCTGTATAAAACTTGATGAAGAGGGTGCAGCAAACATCATCCTTTATTTTGATGATGTCAACTCCTTCACTTCAATTTCAACAACTATGTTCATCAAAAATATCATCTCGACAGATAGGTAATATCTTCATTTTAAGATTATATAAATGATAACCCCTTCTATCATTAGTAAAATCAATAAATATATATTTTTCACTTATATTATCCATATTACTATGTTTATCATACTCATTCAAAGCATAAACTATGCAACCAAATGCGTTCAAATGACTAAAATTTGGTTTTCTATGAAACCCTACTTCATATGAACTTGTACTCAACTGTCTTGTTGGTGAAATATTAAAAAAATAAGTTGATGTGGCTACCACATCAAGTCAAAACTCATTCAAAAGATACTTCTCACAAAGTGTGATAGTTAGTGTCAAAGTAATTTGATGGAGCACCAAGTCCCCAAGGAGAATGGAATAGGATGATGATTAGAAGAGGGACATGTTAATAGAAAAAGACTAGTATTATTGACTAATGAAGGACAATGACACAAGGCATATAAGGACAACATCAAAAGACAACAATGAGAGAAACCCTTAAGAGGGCTTCTTAGACAAGGTGGCTACTTTGAGAGAGCTGATCTCTAGACTCTCTTCTTGAGAGATATCCCACACTCTTCTTCCTCCCCTCATCCTAGTGCAACCTATTTATTCTTATAGGACGAGCAGTCTCTTGGAGCATCATGTCAACATTAAGAGATGTGGATGTCTATACTAAGGCATCTCATTACCCTTCAGTCATAAGTAACACTCCTCATTAATGATCCTGCCTTAACTTGAGGCCCTCAACGGTCTTCGAGGCTTCCAGAGGTGGCTGAACGGTGTGAGGGACATGTCATAATCTCAGCTGTATTTAGAGTTACCCTCTCTTCTTGAAAAATTTAAATTAGATGGGAAGAACTTGCTATAATGATGTGAGTATGTAGAGGTTGTCTTAAAAGGGCAAGGAAACTTCAATCACTTAATTGATTATGTCCCTGATGTTGAGGAGGATAATGTTGTCTATGGAAAGAAAAATAATAATTATAGCATTATTGTTGAGCATGATGGCTCCAGAAATTAGTAGGAATTTCTTACTTATTCCTACAATCAAAGAAATATGGTAAAATACAATTAATTTATCAAAAAGGAGTGATGAAGCACAGATCTATCAAACAGTAGTGAAAGTTATGACTCTAGTGGAAGGCAAAAAAATTGTAAGAAAATATGCCATAAAATTAAAGGTACTATGGCAAGAAATTGACCACTCTAGGCCACTGAAGAATAATTACTTAGAGGAATGAATGGTGTATGGAAGTTATATTTAAAGAGATTAGATGTAAAAATTATTGGTTGGGTTTAATCAAGAATTTGATCAAATCAAAAGCCAAATTCTTGGTCAAGAAAAATTTCCAAACCTAGAAGAAATAATTGCAATAGTTCAAGAGAGCCAAGAAGCCTTTTGTTGGGAACTATCTTGGAAGCCTTTGTAAGAATCAAATCCTACTTCCTCATCTTCATAGACAGAAGCCAAGTAAGGTCATCACTCTCTTTGTGCTTATTTGGCCCACTCTCCACTAAGATTATTAGCACATCTAATTTAAAGCATAAATGAAAACATACATAGTGGACGTGTTCAGATTTTTTATAAGTTGTTGACAATGGTATATAGCACCAATAATATAAGTCAAATAAAAGATAGTTTTAGTTTTATTGTAAAATTTTCACAATCAATGAATAGATTTGCTCTTGTAACCTAAAAGCCATGTCACCATATATTGAACTCAAAAGAAAAATATTTGAGGGTAAAGCACTTAAGTTATTAAGTTATTTGACTCTCTTTCTCCTAGATGCAGAATTAGAGAAAAAGCACCAACATCACATTCAAAAAATTGATCCATGATACACAAAAAGAGAGAAAATATCCATATAAACTTATCAAGTAAAGCATGTCTAAGATTTTTTGAACCACTAAATTCTTTTCGTGTAACCATCAGATTCTATCTCATCTTAGTTTTCACACATTATTCACTTATATAATTGTATCTCCTCCTTTGTAGTTGTGTACCTTACACATATAGTTTATTAAGGTATGAACATAGGATATTTTTCTTGGTGATTATCATGGCCAAGCATCACAAATGAGAAGCCTTCTTATTCTCCAACCTATAGAATAGACTTCCATCATAAACCCCCCTCACATCCTCCTTGGACAATAATCCATCCTTGTCCTTGCAAACATGATACAACATCCTCCACTCCACTGAAGATGCAATCCTACAAAAATTTCAAATTCAACACAATTAGAGAACTTCTCAAGTTATATGATTTGAAAAGTACTTCAAAAACAATTATAAAATTATCATACCACTCAATTCCAAACCAAGTGACAACAGGTGGCGTTCTTATACTACACATCTAGATTATGTATACATCACATCTAATCTGAAGCTTTTTAGATTCCACCCAGTGAATTCATTATTGAGAAATAAATGGCAACTGTACCGTCCAGCATTATCATCTGGAATTCTGTTAGCCTCCAGCATGTCCATCAACTCTTCTGAAGTGAGAACGGTTTGGTTAGTTCTTGCATGCTTCTCAAAGATGGCCTCAAACTTTTCCGGTACAAACCTAAAAACCGAAGTTGTCTCAGTAGTGAGGATTATTCATTTAAATAACGCTAGATGTCGCCATAAACACGTTAATCTGAAAAAAGTAGATCAATGTAAAGAGAAATGTATGAGTATTTGTATGCATAAAGAATGTTATTGGCTGTTCATATTATTAGCACGATTAAATGAACCCTTAAAATATAAGAAAGCATGAAAAGAAATCATGATCCGGAGGTTCTGGGCCTAATAAAACTAAACTGAGGGAGTTTCTGAATAGTGTCTTCGAGTATAACGTTAAACCATATCTTTAGTTCCCTACAAAGGAATCACTTCAATTCAAATGCCTGTACCAAGTCCTCTTTTCATGAACTAATGGTCGGTCCCCCATTCCTTTAAAAGATATAACGATACCAACGCTAATATAGTGTTGAAACAAAGGGAAAAGATGCTCTCAGAGATGATAAATTAATTCGCGTACTATTGATAAGATAAATTTCTGTCATCCACACCTTCCCTCCGCGTCGTAGGCACCTGTGTCACTCCCGTGTATACCTTTGTGGATGTTGCTCACGTAGATGGGAACGAGAGGAGATGCCAGCTTCCCCTACGTACAGATTTTCAACTTTCAGAAACAGAGACAGACGGAGACCATCGAAGTGAGGGGAAGGGGACGCTGTACTGGTTGAGTTAACGGGCCGAGGAAGCCATTGATGAATACGGCGGCAGCAGTAGACAAGGCAATTCCACACCCGATTGCGCGGAGCCCTGCACCACCGTAATCTCATTTCGATCATTTTGTTTAAGTAACAGAATGATGATGAATGGGTACTTGGCCCAACAGGAAATGGTAGACCCGCGGAAGCCCCCGACTAAATCAGACACGAAGGGTTCGCTCACGAAGAAGAAGACGACAATGATGATGAAGAGGGAGAACCTTGATAGGTCTCCGAAGGGTAGATGAGGCCGTCCTTGTTCCGGTCGAAGAAGTCCGCGTGTTTCTGCAGCGGCGTCATCTCATCGCGACCTTTGATGGCGTTGGCTGCCTCCACACCTGTCGGGAACAGCCGAAACCATTAGGTGAGTCAGTCACCGTTCTCAACAAACGGAAAGACAAACAGCGTCTTAGGGTTTCCAATCGTCTCCCCCTCACGGAACCAAAGTAGAAGATCCAGACACCGGAGGCAAAGCAGCCGCCACCTTCAATCTTCCAGCTGGTTTCAGTGGACTTATATACACACTGACATGTAGCGAGAGAGAGAGAGAGATCGGCCAAACCAAAGGGAAGGCAAGGGGAGTCTCATCTAAGTCGAGAGGAACAAAACAACGGGTTGGGGGGAGGGGGGACGCCGAAGCTTCTCCCTCCTCTATGCCGGCGACACGCAAATTAGGCCGCCCCCCGTCCGTGGGGACTGTGTCGGGACGATTCAACTCGTAAATGGTCACGGCCGGGGACCGCCTTCGGAAATAGTTCACAGTGTCTGCCACGTGTTGGCCCGTGTTACTTCGATGCAACGTGGCATTACGAGGACGTCTTTTTTATTGCGTGTATCTAAATATCTTTTATTTTATTTATCCAATTTTTTATTTAAATGCACTTCTAGCGACTCCTGATCGTGTCCATTGGGTTATGGATAAATATCAGCCGATATTTTACTAAATCAGCCGGCGAATCGGAAATTTGGGGTCAACCTGGGAATCAAAATTAAGAAATCTGAAGAATACTAAATCAATAAATTTATGTCTACATTTATCAGGATAAGCTGATCGATTTTCCGTGAAATATTGCCGTTCCTGGAAGAATATAACAGTGAATGATCGAAGGGCGAGACTCAGAGAGGAAGAGAGAGAGAGAGAGAGAGAGAGAGGAGCGTACGTGTTGAGAACGCGTCGAGGAAGAGGAAGCCGCTGAGGAGCAAGGCGGCGGCGGCGGCGGCGGCTGAGAGGGCGATCGAGCGCAATCGCGCGCATCCGAGCTGTCTGGAGTGGGATGGGAACGGCGGATGGATCCTACTCATTATATCTCAATGGACGGGAAGAAGGGGGTGGTGGAGAAGACCAGGCAACCGGGGGAGGGAGAAGCAACCCACCACCGCCACTGCCAATACAGAGAGAGAGAGAGAGAGAGAGAGGGAGAGGGAGAGAGAGAGGGGAAGATCCTGTGGCGAAGTTGAGGAAGGCAAACGAAACGACTTTCCGTTTATAAAGCAAGATCCTGTGGTGGGCAACTACCAGCATCTCTCTCTCTCTCTCTGAGGTGGAGTAGATTTATTGCTAATAAATTTTAAAGCAAGAACAAAACGAGTGAAATAATTACAAAATTCCTGACGCGTTTTGAAGTCTATTTTTTAACATGGAGCCAGGGAAGCGTCAGTCTACTTCCCACCACGATCTTCTCGACAAAATCAGTTCTTGAGTGCTACCCTAATTCACCATTATCACCCGGCGAAGACCAGGAAATGCCAATAAATTACAGTTATTTTAAATGTGTTAGTTCATAATTGTCGGGAACAGTTAGATACGCAGACTTTTCTGGACGATGAATGACCTGCGGTGCAAGAAACCGCCCCACTTCAAGCGCTGTGGTAGAGGGAGAAGTAGGCTGCTGAAGATAAAGAGTCCAGCTTGAACGTGGGCCGAACTGGGTTGAACCCATTTTCTCTCTCTAGACCTGATCCTCAGATTTGGGTCCACGCTGTCTCATCGGCGAGTATTATGAAAGAGAATAGAAGTAAATGCCCCATCCCAAAATATTAATCCGAAAGAGAGAAGGCTCGATGGATGGATGGTTGAATTAGAGGTCATTGACCACCTGACATTGAACATAGCAAATCGAGATACGCGTCGTCAACGTTGCGCCGAGTCCTCTTTCATGAAATAATAGTCAACCCCTCGCTTCCCTTCGCTGCAGCTAGCAGCGCCGTGACCATGGTCGGGTCTTCCGGAGAGGGATTAGTCTGGGTGGTTTTTCCCCTCCGCGGGGGTGACGATGAAAGAGAGACAGCAGGGCCCGCCGAAAAGTTGGTTGACTTGCCTCGTGCGCGGGGGGGTACGGACGTTTCGATTCTTCCAAAACCTAAGATTCAACACGTGCGTTAGGCGGATGGCACGTGCCGTTTCTCAACGTCTTGCAGGCTTTATAAAATAGCCTGACTAGTTGAACCAGTCAGTGGTACTTAATAAGCTGGGTCGAAAATATCGTCTCAAGTATGGATTTTTTGACGAAAAAATCCTCCAAAAATGAGTCAGTAGCCGAACTTTAAAAGGAAGTGTAGATCTATGAAGGTAAAGTTTTATCCATTCCCTCCGAGCTTCTGAATTAAAGATTAAATTGACGGTGCAGCCACGTTCATCTATTCTTTCCGTCGACTGCCTGCTGCTCATGGAGGAAATTAGACAGCAATTGAAGCGGATATCGGGAAAATACGATGCCCTTTAGGAAGAATTTTAGAGAGGAGAGAGAGAGAGAGAGAGAGAGAGAGAGAGAGAGAGAGTAAGAGAGAGTAAGAGAGAGAGAGGCCGCCTTTCTGTACACAACAAAGATAGATGGACCCACATTAAAACTTTCGGGCCACATTTCCCCGTGGACCACACACGTTATCTCCCAATTTATTGCACACTTGAGCAGAGATATTTCTTGAATCTGGAGGCTGGATGGGGATGGAGAGCCTACGCCCTCTTAGAGAGAGAAGACCCGGCCTTCTCCAGCTTCTCAAACAGGCTACCGTCGTACACCTCTCTTACTGTCTCCCTGTGCAGGAATCCGTGCTCTCCTTCCCCCAGTACGTACAGAAGCTGCCACTCGGGGTAGCTCACTAACCTGCAAAAACAATCCAGTAATTTGTACTAATTACGTTCTTCTCGGGAGAAAATACGGCCAGAAAGCCCGACCCGTTGACCCATCCAAAGTTGTCGTGTGATTGAACGCTGACCATCCATTGAAGTCCGTAAAATTACGGTTGGCCTTGAGCATGGTGTCGAGCTCGCTCTTCGACAGCGCGTCGGGGTTTGTGGCGGCGTACTTGGTGAATATGGCCTCAAATTTGGACGGCTCAAATCTAGAAAAAAATAAAATAAAAGGGGACCCGATTATCAGCCACCACATACGTCATCACGATTGGTTCATTTGTCCAAATGAGCCAATAATGGCCCACGAGGTGGGGCCTGACCTTCCCTCGGTGTCGTATGTCTCGGAGTCGCTCCCATGCTTGCACCTGTGGATGTTCCTGATGTTTATCGACAGAAGAGGAGAACGCAGCCATCCCTGCGGGAAAAGGCATAAAGTATGCATTAAACTCGCAGATTATCGTTAATTTTCCAAACTCAAACGCTCAAGTGCGGCGGGGGTTCTTCTGATTCAATGATCTCAGATTTGCAACATAATCGAAAAAAGTATCCAAATCAAATAAAACAAATAATGGGAAGCTGCAGACATGATGGAAACGATGAATCTTACTTAACTAGCTCATATCAATGCGACAACAAGAGGGAGTCGGATCCCCAGTATGGAGTATATTTAGGTGGATTTGCCAAGGTCTTACCGGTTGGGTAGTGTAACTCAGGCCAAAATTGATCAAGAACGCGGACATGATGGAGAAGAAGAAGTTGCAGCCGATCGCTCGAAGGCCTGCGCGACCATTACAAACACTAAACAACCGAGCAGCGCTGCGACTATCATTGTTTACATGACAAGATGCTGACTTTAGAGAGACAGAGACAGAGACAGGGAGAGGCGCCGTCGTCTAAAGAAGAGACGGGAGAAGGTACGGTGGCGGATCCATGAGGGATGAACTTTCGTACCTTGGTAGGTCTCCCAGGGTTAGATGACGCCGTCCTTGTTGCGGTCGAAGGAGGCATGCCGCTGTAGGACGCTCATCCCCCGGGTTTCCCGCCCCTCCGTCCCCTTCGGATGGAACTTGTCCACCGCCGCCTGCGCCCTCGCCAGATCTGCAGGCCGGGGCACCGCCGCAACCGCCGACGCCAAGAGCATCAGCATCAGCATCAGCATCGCCGTAGGGAAACCCCCACTAGAGGCCAAACCATGAAATGTCTAGGAACACTGGAGCAACAGTATGGCCAAGCCAAGAACGAAATTTTCGAAAGGGAAAGGGAGAGAACCCTACGTGGCTTTGGGAGCTCATCCTGCAGGCTGACGTTGAGCTTCCGCTCCCTGGTGATGGAAGCCTGGGGGGCGGTAGTCTCCATCGACGGGTCCGCCGGCTGAGCGGCCATCTTCGTACTCGGCTTGGCGTCAAAGACTGCGGAAGAGGAGAACCAGAGCAACCTACGTAGTTTCTACCCCAAACACGGCGTCGCAACAACCCCGAGGGATAATCACCAAGCTTAGGATCCCTTAGGCAGGGAAAGGTCGGTCCTTTATAACGTCAGGGCGAACCTCGAGGCGGGCAGGGGAAGAAGGAGCTATGGCCGGTGATGAGGGAATGGAGGGACCTGCTCTGTAAGTCATTTACTGTAATCCTTGGAAGGGCTGGCATACAGAGGGAGGTCCCCTCCGCCGTACGTAACCTCGTTAGCATTATCCGTCGTACCCTGCCGACCAGTCCCCCCAGAACGGAAAGCACTTGGGAAAGCCTGTTGAAAATTATAAAAGAATTATAATTATAATTTTAATACTGCCCTTCTTTGATCCGTTGACGTGCAAATCGCTGGTTAAAGATCAACTTCCGAGATCTAAGACTTCAATAATGCCAGCTAGGGAAACCCTCGAAAGAACGGAACAGCTTGGGAGAAGAACTCTTTCTTTGAAGCAATGGGATAAAACAATTCCACATTCAAGAACCATTCCGTTGTAGTCTAGTTGGTTAGGATACTCGGCTCTCACCCGAGAGACCCGGGTTCAAGTCCCGGCAACGGAATTAAATATTTCTATTTTGCCCCACCGCAAGCTGGCAGTCCCACCAACCAGACGAGGTTCAAATCTCATACGACTTCCAACCGTAGAAATAAATATTTAAATAATTTAAATTTGACATGGACAGAAAGCTGTTTAATTTGGTCTTCAACCCTGTGAATCCTATATTTACGGTTTCATCCTCCTTTTTGCACTACATCCAAACCGAACGTTCACAGTTGAACCGAATATAATATATTTTAATCGATATGCCTTAGACTGCTAGTATTTACCGTTAACAGTATCCTCTAAGAGGAAATATGACACGATTTAATTGATGAAAACTACTAAAAGTATTTTTTTAATTCAGAATATTCGACTCAACTAGCCTAATGCGATTTTTTTTATAATTTTATAATTTTAATGATAATTAGCTTCAGTGTTTAGGCACCCATAAAGTAGGCTGCTACTGCGAATTAGACTGGTCAGAATTTTTTGATAATTTTCAAATTTTAATGATAATTTTCAAATTTTAATGATAATTAGTTTAAATTTTTATTCCCCTAATGTGGAGAAAAAGTAGGCTGCAAATGTTGAAAAAAATCCCTGTATTTTTGGAAAAAAAAACCGAGAGACAGATGGATGTCTAAACAATGAAGCACACAAATTATGAATAATAGTGAATTATCATTTTTTTCATTTTTTTAATTTAATATTTGTAATTAAAGATCTATTTGACCTAATTTTTTGCTGGTTCTAGATTTATTAGAGCTTTTTTCTTGATTTTTCATAAATTTTTCATCATTTAGACCAACTTTTAATTTTTTTTATAAATGCCCAGAATAATAAATTGGGTTGGCGTCACAAATTAGTCCAAATGCATGGGGGGGGGGATCTCATCGAGGGTAGATTAGTCTTTTTATCTAGGCCTTACCTGAGTCAACGGTCGTCAAGAAATACATCCTTGCTGAATTTCCCGGACTCGCAGGGACTAATCCCAGAATCCAAGAGTTTACAGGGAGGTAAATCTGATTAATCTTAAGAAAGAGAGGGCCGTACACGACCCTTCGCATCCATCCGCGTTGACCAAGCGCTCCCGGAGGTATCACCATCCGTACCAGGAAAGGAAGGTCAACTCGTCCAGAGCAAACAGCTCCAGATAGATGGACTCTCTCACTACAGTCCATCAGCCCACCATAATTCTTCATGGCAGGCCTTATTGCTATTTACACCTCCGTCATCCTCTCTCTCTCTCTCTCTCTCTCTCTCTCTCTCTCTACAATTTTCAGAGAATCGAGCACCTCAGGACTAGGCCCTTCTGCTCCTGCTCCTCGAGGCCTGCAAGTCATTTGTTTCAGACCTTCTTCATCACCTGGCCTGCGGCTGAATGCCCGAATAACACGCCGGGAAGGAAGGAAGGAGGAAGAAGGTGGGGATGGTGCTCACCTTCTGGGGGCTGCGACAGCTTCCGGTTCTGGGGTGACGACATCTCCCTCTTCAGGCCGATCAGAAGCTCCTCCATGGTGTACTCCCGCTTCCAGTCGGCCAGCATAGGAAACAGTCCCGGGTTGACCTGCGGCACCATTGGAGACCCATATCAAGCTCTGAAAAAGGAGCTCCTCCCGAGATTCTGGGGGGAGGAAGCCCTAAAACTCCAAAAACTCCGGCTGCCCACCGCTCCTGTTTCCTGGTCAACGCAGGCCATGTTGATCCGCGTCTGGAACCGCACAGAGGGCGGGTCGTCTGGGTAGCCGTCGCCGCAGAAGAGCTTCAACTGGTAGATCCTTCCCTCATGAACGGTCTGCAGGAAGAAGAGAAGAGAGCCGGGTTTCAGTCTGGGGAGGGAGCGCCATGGCGGCAGCGGCGGGGAGGGCGGACGTTCGGCGGGCCGATGATGGTTCCGGTCCAAGAGCTCATGAATATATCGTCGCCGTCGTCCATTCCATAGCTGACAGTGCCGTCGCCGATGCCCTTCTCCCCTCTCTCGAGTTCTTCCAGCAGCCTGAAGTTCCTCGGCACTGCGCGCAGTCAACGTCGCACAAGATGTCAGCCGCCGAGACGACGATCGTGAAAAAGCCTTTCTTTTTTTTATCGACGGTGACAAATCAAGCCATTTTCCACTGTCTGGGAACCTGGTGGGTATCATCATAATCATCCCAAAGTCAACCATTTTCAGTAAAGAACAACAGACAAGGAGACTGCGATGATGGGTCGGTAAGGAAGAATGAGCGAGTAAATATGAATTCCACAGGGAATCAAAGAGTTCTATATTTTTTATAAAAAATAAATAAATGTTTCAGTGGATAATCTTCAAGATCGACACCAGAGCTCTCTAGAGCTCCATGGAGCTGCCGCCATGAGAAGCACCATCGAGAAGGTGATCAGATCAGATAGAACCACAGTAAGCTACATGCAGCACTGAGATCGAGGTTGCGTGATTATCTCAAGCATGACGAAGACAGAGCAATAAAATCAACAAAATTAGGCAAGAACATGATCAGAATTGGATGGCGCAGACTCCGAACCTGCGGATTTAATGTGGATGAGGATGGGCAGCCATAATATGAATTGCTCAACGAATTTACGTCAACAGAACCACAGCAGAGAAGAAGCAACGGCGATAAGCATGCGTTCACTGCTACTGAGGAAGGAACACGGGACAGTAAGAAGGGGCTTTACATTGTTCAGAGGATTTTTAATGGTCAGGGAGCGCGAACGAGAGCAAGTACATACCCCGACCTCGGGACGGATCGGTCAGCCATGGCCTGGACTTCCCAATTATTCGGAAATTGGGAAGCGGGAAAGGATAGAACAATCAGTGGGGCAGGATGAGGAGCCCATTAGTCAGCGTCTCACCATCCTCACCCACCTCTTGCTCTGATTTTCGCTTTGATTCTAAACCAAGGAAACGCCTGCGTTGACCTTCAAGAAAAGGGAATTTTGCGGTGGTAAGGCTACGAAAAATGGGGGGATAGAAGGAGTCGGCCATCAGGATGCTGCAAGCTGAAACGGGCATGAGGAAATCAAACAGGCGGATTCTCAACAGATACAGGGTGATTTTCTCGAGGATAATAAGCACGGGCGGCCAGTCGAAGAAACCATCTCCGTGCTGGAGATCGGGGTAATGGCGAGGTAGGGCACGACGACCGCCCTACGCGGCCGAGAGCGAGCGTGAACGCCGAAGAAGATCGCGCGGAGAAGGGTTGCTCGAGTAAGAGAGAGAAACGGCGACGACGGCGGCTCACCGACGACTCCCGAAGCCTCGGAGCCCATCTCTCGCCCTCCTCGCTCGTCCGCAGCGCTCCCGATCCTCTCCCTGGAGCACGCCTGGCGGAGGGGGAGAGAAGTATCGCGGGCGAGCCAAGGCAAGCCAAGGGAAGGAAGAAGAAGTAGAAGAAGACTTCGGATTGGAGACGAGCGGTGAAATGGAGCTGCTGGTTATTCTCTCTCCCCTCCCTCCCCTCCCCCTCAAAGCTTTCACCTTGACGTGTAAAAATCCCAGACCTTTGCCCCGCCACTACCACGCTGCCCTTCCCCATCTCCCCGCCGCCTCAACCCTGTCACACCCCAATCAACGGTCGCCGCCGCGTCTCTTTTGGCGTGAAAACCCTGAACTACCACTGCCATGGCCCATCTCTATCTTTCTCTCTCCCTCTCTCATAATACATGTGGTTCCCCTCATCGTCTCTAAGATGGGCAACTACCACTCAGCCTACTTATTCTTTTAAACTAGTTTACAGACTAAGTTCGTAAACTTTGGTGATGTTCCTGAACTATTGAATTGTTTCTATTTTCTCAATGTAGTTATTAAAGATATACGTCACCTGTTGGTACCCATCAAAGAAGGCAACAAGGGGGGGATGGGGGATGGGGCTTCTACTGCTCCATTAAGCATTATAGACGAAGAAACCTCCCCATTTTGGCACCACTTGGAGTAGTAGTTGTAGTTGGTGGCCAAGTTGGTTCGATTGATTTCGGCGATCTAATCCAGCAACCCAATGCCGGCCTGGAACGCAACCGAGCTGCATGGAATCGGCCAAGAATCAGGGACCCAGATGTGTGTCTGACGCTGATGCTGACATTAAGTCAGCTCCTTACAACTGTGGACTATAGAATAGTTAAGACAAGCATCAGGGAAATTATTTCGCTTATACATAACCCATATCATGAGAAGAGTCAAAGGGTTCGGATCCTTGAGTCGGAGGATCTATCAAGATCGAAAGTGGTCCAAGAGCGACTTGGAGCCCAGTTCTTTGCTGAAGAACACGCCCATGAACTCTGGCATTGTGAATTCTCGGTACCTGGCGGGCCTCGCTAGTGAAATCAGCTCTTGCAGGGGCCCGTAGCGGCTCGACCCGTCCCTCTGGCCTGGATTATAGAAGGTTCCAACTGAGACTCTCCCCTTCTCAGAGGGATTGGCCACTACCTTGTGCTCCACACTCCTGTACTCGTCATTGGATATCATCTGAAGAATGGAAGATACGATCATTTTATCAAAATTTTGCACCCAAAGAGTTTGGAATTCAGTCACATCAATGGAGGTCATCAAAATTCCATATGTATGTTGAAAATTCATGGCATTGACAGAGGATCTCGGAAAGTTAATGCTCAATGGAAGACTTGAGGCCAATTCTGGTGTGCGTCAGAATTGAAACAGGTTTGTCCTACAAAACGTCAGAAAGCCAGGAAAAAACTGGTTCAATCGGCCAAAGAATTAGATCTGGCTTGTGACGATTCGGGTCTAGATTGACCGATCCAATTAACCATGTTTCTATCCCATTTGGGTTCACGCAGCACAGAATTAGAGAAAAAAAAATCTTTTTAATGCAGGTGCTACATATTTATCCAGATTACCAGTCCTTTGATGTTCTCCGGCCAGCTTTTCATCTGCCCAGGCAGAACAACTCAATGTTCAGGAAGAGAGTCCTCAAAAGCAACCCACAGATCTTGATTACTAAGATTAGCAAGTTGAAGATGAGCCTACACCTGGGTGGATCTTATCCACCCTTTTTTCTGATGATGTTGGAGCTCTCTGATGATGTGTGGGTATCCCCTGGTGGATCCTCCAAGTATTAGATCTCAGCTCAACGGGGTCTGTGTTCTACCTGGCCCATCTTATTCTACTCCTCCAATGGCAGATTGTGATGTTCCTCCCCCACCTCTGCGGGTTTTGATTGACAATCACTCTCGGATCTCGGGAGAAAAAAGTATCTGATCATCCCGCAGCAACAAAAGTAGCTGCCCCTCAAATTCGGCATGGAGATCGTTCCACGAGTTGAATCGCTCAAGTCTGTCGTAATCTCCGCAACCGGGCAAACCAGCCAGGCCCAACTTCTGGTTGTTCATCGCTCTCAGCTCCCCGAGCTCACGCCGTCCTCTGCAAGAAATCCTGCACTCCCCAGAATCTCTCCACAAACAGCACGGTATATTTCGTGGAAGAACAGGTATCCAAGAATAAACAAACCTTCAGGCGTTCCATTGATCATACCCCCGCAAGGTTCCTTCAACCTCATCCATGGTCCTTGATCCAGTGCCTAGTATATATATGCATGATGCCAGTGCAAAATAAAACCAGAGCGCACCTGAAGAGTGTCGCCGACGTTGACGATGATGGCGCCGGGAATGGGGTCGACCTCAACCCAGGCGTCGCCGCCGCCGGCCTCACCAGCGCTGGCCTTCCTCACCTGCAGCCCCGGCACCTCGTTCTGTATCAGCACCGTAAGCACGCCAGGATCGGTGTGGCCGGCGAGCCCCAGCGTCAGGTGGGGCTGCGGGCAGTAAGGGTAGTAGTGGCAGACCATCTGCCGCCCTTTCAGGCAGGAGAGCTCCTCCAGCCTCGCCGGCGCCGCCCCCAGCCCCTCGCTGAGCAGTGCGAACAGCTTGGACGCCACCGCTAGTGAATACCCGTCCCACGCCAGCAAATCCCGCCGGCAGACCTCCGGAATCCGCGATGGGTCCACCGGCGAAGGCCCCATCGTGATCTGCAGCGTGTCCCTCCAGGTGGCGGCGTTGGAGCGGAAGAGGTCGAAATTGGTGTTGAAGGAGACGCCGCCGGACTGATTTCTGGTGTAGTACGCCGCCTTGGCCTCGGTGGGGAGCTCGTTGAAGGCCTGAACGGCGGAGAGGGCGGCGGAGATGGCGGCGGAGGGGACCCCGTGGTTGGTGATCTGGAAGAATCCCCAGTCGCGGGCGGCGGCGCTAGTCAGTTCGACGGCCCGGTGGTGGGGCAGAGAGAGGTCCACGACGGGGATGGAGGCTCCGGCGGCGGGGGGGGGAAGGTTGAGGGAAGAAGATGGGTGGTGGAAGAAACGAGGGATGCTGGCGAGACCACCGTCGACGAGCCCCTTGACCCCGATCTTGGATTCGTCGAATTCCCTCACCTCCTTCGCGCGGTCGTAGCCGGCGGTGCCGAGGGAAGCGCCGCCGCCCGCGGCGGCGACGACGAGGCCCGACATCTCCGAGGCAACAGAAGAACCGAGACCTCCCCGCCCACCTCTTCCTCTTCCTCTCCAGCGGAGTCGTTATCTTCTTCTGCAGTGCTAATCTCGGGGTGCATTAATTTTATCCACGGAAATTATCAGCCCTGCTGAATTTTGTTAAATTATTCTCCGTTAGAAGGACTTTGCTGGGTCAGCATTATTCTCCGTTAAATCTCCACGCGAAGAAACCATGGGATGCAGACGCCACATCGTCTTCTACCTCCCGCCCAGAGAAGACGGAGCGCGCCTCCACGAACCCTTGACGGCGTCCTTTCTCCGAGGCCCAAACCATCCGGTCATCTCATCATCGCAGCAAGACCCATCAAACTCGATGGGAGCCATCACCCGCTCCGGCGGCGCAGCTCTCAACCTCTCTTTATCTGACGAGGACCGGGCGGTGACAGCGGAGGCGGCGCTTCCGCCGCCCGGAGACGTCCGCAAGCCTCTGAAATCCGTGGGCTCGTAGGGAGATTTCCAGCCGTCGTCGGAGCTCCAGAAATCGCCGCCTTCCTCCGCGCTCCCCGGCGGCCCATCTCCGACGAACGAGATTCTCGAGGGCCGACGGTGTCCTCCGGCGGCATCGTTCCGGTCTTCCGCCGCCGCCGCCGCCGCCTTCGGCCGCTTCCAGCCGCACTTTAAGCAAAGCATGTTCTTCCGGAAATTGACGTAGTTGCACCTGCCAAAAACCACACCAAGGTCTAATTCATCAAACAAATCCCAATGAGTAGACCACGAAAGGGGTCCGTCCCGTTGACTTTGAGACCGCCTGGTTATGAACAGAGTCAACTTACGACGCGCACTCCCACTCTCCCGGATTGAGCCGGCGCGCGGAGGGCTTCTCCTCGCATTGCAGGCATCTCGGGTTCTTGGCGAAGTTCAAGAAGTTGCACCTGAAAGTAGAATCAAGAGTTGAGCCATGGAAGAGCATCACCCTGCACGATGAAAGTCAACTCATGGGGAGAGGAAGGGATCACACTTGTCGCATATCCAGTCCCCCTTCTTGAGCGGAAGGTGCTCGTACTCCTCCTTGAACTTCCTAATCTTATCCTGGGAAATGCCATTGCAGCGCAGGCACTTGACATTTTTGGCAAAATTCAGGAAGTCGCACCTGCAAGATTCCAAAAAAATTGGATATGATAAATTTCCCAGCACTGCACAAAACGAGAACGATAGCTGGGCCTCTCTGGATCTACTACTTGGGGCAAATCCAGTCTCCCTGCTTCATCAGGGCACTGAATTGGGGCGGCGGCTGCTTCCCACAGGAAGCTTCTTTCTCGGAATTAGGGTTCATCTCCTCCATGCTGAGCTCCACCATTCTACGCAGCATCCTCCTCGCAGATTCCTCGAGGGATTTCGTCAGAAACGACTGGATCCCTGAAGATCCAGCTGCCAGCTCAAGCCCGCAAGTCAAGAGGATCCGCATCACGTCGACAGTCCTCCCTCTCTCATCTTCCTGGGCATTCAAATACGCCCTCTCGCAGCTTCCCCGGAGGGGACAGGAGCTGCAGACCTGAGAAAGAAGAACAAAAAACATGGAGGCATTGGAAGAACTGCTCCCTCTGCTACACAGCTGTTTCCACAGTGAGGAGATCTTCAGGTGGTACCTTCCCTTCCTCGATGCCAACATAAGACCTCAGTCGCTTTCCTGAGTTGGTAACTTTACGGTCTGAGCTCGGGCAGCCAGATCCAACGATCACCTGGATGTCTTTCCTTGGGAGGTGTCTGGAGATAGGTAGTCAAAATAATTTAGGCTCCTCAACTATAAGCTGAAATAATTGATGATCTAAACTTCAAGTTCTTCTTCTTCTTCACAACAATTTTTTATCCTGTATATTTTTCACTTCTATGCATGTAATTCGTCCCAGAAATCTACTCCTGCATCACTTAATCCAGTTGGAAGAAAGCCTTTCTTCAATCGAACATGGAAGAGTTCGATCAGGGACAAGGATTGGACCTAGATCTCTTCTCCTTTTCTTTTTTAAACTCCGAATTGATAAAAATCAGAGCACCTTCCTCTTTTTCTCAGAAAAAAAAGAGTGAAATCAAAGATGATACAGGCTGAAATTCTCAGCTATTTTATTGATATTTTGAGACAAAAAAGGATTCCCATCAGTGAAATAATTCCTATGTTGGAGCATAGTTTATGTTAACTATTTGATCATCATGAGATGAGCATCTGAAAAAATAACTCTGCACATAAAAGATTCTCTGAGAGTGGAAAAGTGACGGAGAAAAGAGGAATTCAAACGCTTTTACATATAGCTTTCTCCCTGTTCATAGACAATCCTAAACCCTAACCCCATGAACAGGATCTAAGTCAGATCTCTGATTCATCGGCTTCATTGCTTTCATACCCAAAAGCTCAAGTCAGTGGAAACCGTAGCTTAAACGAAAACCTAATGAGGGCAATGGAAACGACAGGTCGTGGAGCTTCGACGGCACCTTGCCTCTTGAAGGCACAGAACGATTAAATTCATGGCCACCAGCTAGATCAGCCATTAGGCCTCATCAAAACAGACCTACGCAGAGCATGAAGAAAGGGAATCCCCCAGATGGAATGGCATGGCATGGCATGGCCTGGCCTGACCTGATTAGTTCGGAACGGTCCCTCGCGAAATCGAGGCACGCAGTGCGCATGCGATTGGCACTCTTGGAAACTGCAACCGACCCTCTCTCCATGCCGTACTGGCGGTCGAGGTAGCCATTCCGCAGCAGCGTCTCCATCAGCTCCACCCATTCCGGCCATCGATGGGAAGATACCTCCAGCACCTCCAGCACCTCCTCACCACCGCCCCCTCCTTCCCCACGCCCTCTCCCCTCCCCCTTTTCCAAGCCCTCCTCTCCACCGCCGCCATCGGGTGTCAAGGAGGGGAAGCCCTCGAGCTCCCGGCAAACGAAGCTCAGACGAGGATCGGGAGGCTGGTCACCGCGGGAGGAGAGGGAGTAGCTTCGCCGAAGGAGGAGACCGGACAACCCCGACAGCAGATCTCGCAACTCCCCGGAGCCTTTTCTGGTGCACCGGAGATCGGTCCTCAGACGAGGACAGTACATCGGATCCCCCCTCCCGCCCCACCCTCACTCCGACGAACCGTAGCGAGAGAGAACAACTATTCAACGGACATGAAATGAATTATCGGCTGCCGTTTAATCATTTTGTTAATAATTGATGGGATCCGACTCCGAGGAGTGAATTCCCTCCAAAAATAGGCGTATGCCGCTTTATGTGACGAGCACACGGTATTCTTTAGTAAAAGGCGAAAGAATAGTTCGCTCTGTGCTCATCACGCGGCTGCGTGCCTTGAAACGGTACGTTGAGATGCAAGTATATAGGGCACCGGGGATGATTATTGTTCACATTTCCGATATGGGATTAAGCTTGGGAGATGACGTGGCGATCAAATCACGCCCGTCAGGCTGAGTACGTCGACCGGGCTGGGAGTTGGGCTTCTTGCGGAAGTCTTTGACGCGACACCGGTTCGACCAGGTCTTCGTTTACGAACTGGTAAGTCGCACGCGGGATTCGGCGTTGACCGATGTTGACTGCATGATTGCGGGCGACAAGAATTGGACTCTCTAGCTAATGGTACTCGCATTAAAATACTCTTAACGTTCTATCAGTTTGCCAATGGCAACCTGATTTGCATACAATTGCTGATATACAACGAATTATCGTTAATTAAAAATGTTAATATTAACGAAATATTTACATGAATAGTGTATTTTAATTAAGAATACCGTGTGCTCGTCACATGATAACCCACCTATCATGGAGTCAACATCATTCAGTCTCTTATCCATAACATTATATCCACCTATCTGTGAGTCATAGTTTCTTCCCAGAAACATGGGTATGCATACTTGTACCTTTCTATATGCATCGATATGTATCTAACCTGTTTATTATTATAAAAATGTGTATGTAACTTTGTAGATAAGAATGCAAGTCACTTATTTTAATGATACGTTCAATGAGTTAGTGATAATTCGATGAGTTAGTCTAAAATCTATCTCCACCATAATGATCTATTCATAGGCGAATACCTTAACTTTGTAAATGTATTAAGTTATAATTACATGGCTAATGAGCACTTCATGAATGTTAATGTCAAAAGAAAAAAGTAGTGGTAATTCGCTCCTCTATCTCCTACAAATAGTAGCAATGATTGTTGGAACAAATTTTTCACTCTTGAAAGGGTAGATGAGATCATTCCATTTTAGCCATCATTTGATGTAGTTTCTCATTGTCAGTATGCACACACTGCAAGCAAACAATCTCAATGACTTTGCATCCATAGTTGTGTTGTTATCTAATAAGAATTATTTGGTTTTCATTATCGTTCATTGATGATCATTTTGAATGCATGCAGTGTAAGTGAAGCTTAAGTTTGTTAAAGTCTATCGCCAACTACTAGACTAGATATTTTGAAGTTTTTTCCCTATAAAGACTAGTGGAGCATCAAAACATGTTCTAAATGTTGCAAGGCTATTTTATGGAGCACTTATTCATAGAGTTTTGTTAGTTTTCCTCCTCATAACATTAGGGGCATATCCTTATTATAAGTTCTAAGTTTATGGCATATGTTCTATAACACTTTGCCTCAAGCTTCAATTTGTACTGCATTCTAGTGGCACCACTTCTAATATAGCTTGAAATATTATCATTCACAAGAAATGTGATTTACATGAAGATTTATTACCATAAATCCATAGAACTTGAAAACTTCAACTTTCAAATCCACAAGGGGATGATCTCGAGTCCACAAGATTAATATAGTTTCTTTGAATCTACAAAGGAGGTATTAAAATCCACCAACAGAAAGATAGAATATCAAAAGGACTTATTAAAATGAGTCCACAACATGATTTCTCTAAATAAGCGGAATCTATTAAACCACCCCCAAGAATGCAGTTTTGTTATGATGTCATCTTAATTTTGAATTAAATTCCATCTAAATAAATTCAACTACCTAAAGTGGGAAAGTAATTTAAAAGTAAGAAAATTAATTGGTGACGCGTTTAAGACATGTTTTATTACGGGCTGCATTAGCTAATGGGTCATCTTGTCCTAGAAGTTCAATCTTCATGCTTCCTTGGCTTCAAGTCCTCCTGAGTTGGGTCATGGATGTGCTTGTAGTTTACTTGAGCAGGAAACTAATCATTGATGTGTTTGTGATGTGTTTAAATAATGGTCAAGAATGATTTCGGAATTCCAAAATCTTCTGATCATAGTAGCATGTCTTTTAAGCACCTTGGACACTTGGTCCTCTAGTTTTAGACCACCTAGGTTAAAATTCTTTTGCCTATCTTTTGATTATAATTGATGTCCTACATCAACGTGTGTGTGTGTGTGTGTGTGTGTGTGTGTGTGTGTTCCCACATACATCATATAAAATAAGACGCCTAAAGAAGTTCAAAATTGCGCTTTAACAATGGTGCAATACACTCATACTAGTGGAGGGGAAAATGCAGCAGAATCTAGTGTAATGGCTACTTCTCGCCGCGATCGTCTACCTTTCTTTGTAGGCCTGTATTTCTCCCAACTGTGTGTGTGTGTGTGTGTGTGTGTGTATGAGAGAGAGAGAGGGAGATTGGTCGTCGAGCTTGAAGGTATGAACCCTAGATGTGTAGAGGGGAGGAGACGTCCGACGATTCCTAGCAAAAAATTGCATGACTTTGAGTAGCCAATGAAGCCATTTTTCTCGAATCGAACCAAAGAAAAATAGAATACTTACAGAAAATCAAATGACAAAACGGGATAAAACCTTACAAGGCATCGTATTCGACCCCTAGCTCTGCTCGGAAAATTAAATTCCTACTTGCAAGGTTGCGGGCATAGCGAATTATTGACGACCAATTTCGATAGAAGGTCGCCATCTCGTTGAAGGCCGGATGCTTAAAAAATGTCACTTGTTGAACTGAATCAAGTGTTGGGTGGTATCCCCACCTCCTTCTTGCTTGGCGGCAATAAGGGAGAGACATTCCTTTGCTTGAACGGCAACTGTAGGAGTGCTGTCGCCGGCACCAGCGAAGAGACCTCTTCCTTTGCTTGAACGGCAGTGCAGATTGACGTCGCCGGCGGTCTTCCCGGCCCCAGGCGACGCCGGCGTTGCTCCACAGATGATATGTCTTCTTGGGTTCGATCAAGACTGGGATGAGGAGAGGGAAACAAATGGGTTGTCGAGAATCTTAAAAAAAATTACATCTTCCGCTTGGGTTCTGCCGGTTTTGAACCACATCGGAGTTCTGATTGCTCCTCCTGAGCGAAAGACGGTGTTAAATCGTTCCTTATTTACGGGGTAGGCGGGGGGAAGGGGAGGGATTCTTCCCGTCTCACAGCGGAGCTCCGGCGGTGTAGGCCGGCGCTCCGTCGTGCGGCTTCTCGAGCCTCTTCACCAGCTCCTCCAGCGCCTCCCTCATCCATGTCTCCCTGCACTTCTCCCTCGCCTCATCCACGGTCACCTGCCGCAGAGAAACGTTCGTGGAGATCAGAAAACACGCCACCAGGAGTAGAAGAGATTGGAATGGCTTCGGCCTTCCGCTTACCCATTTCCGCTGCCGGCTCTCCATCTCCGGCCATTGGAGCAGCTCCTCCGTCACGTTCAAGGGGAACATGTCTCCTCTCTTGTACAGGTCCTGCGTCTTGCTCTTGTAATTCCATGTGCCCAGGCGTTCCTGCGAATTAAGATCCGGATTTTAGACGATGGCAAGGATCGGATCGAACTCAGACCCTGGGTTATATGATGGATCGAAAGAACTAACCTCGACGTTTCCTTGGACACCGGCTTCCTCCATCGCCTCCCGGAGGACTGCGTCTATCTCGGATTCGTCGCTCTCCCAGCCTCCCTGCAGATTCCCCATTGAAGACATTGAGCGAACACTATTTGTAGAGAAAAGCATCTCAGGGATTTCTGCAAGAAATTGGGAGCAATTCGTCTACCTTTGGGAACAGGATCGCCTGGCCCTTCTGAGAGCTGATAACGAGGACTTGCAGAGACTTATCAGCCTTGAATCTGTAAGGAATGCATCTGGCGGAGAGCAACAAACCAGATACTATATTCCATCAAATTCGTATTCAAAAAGGGTCACAGATCAAGAATATTTCCAAGGTGACGCAAGCGGGAAGGAGGGAGGGAAGGAGGGAGGAACATACCCGACAACGAGACGATTGCCATCGCTGGCGTACCGCTGCAACTCTCTCCCCTGGCGAGCTACCGCGACCACCCTCTTGTTCGAGTCCACGGAACCCTCCTTCTCCGGGGGACATTCCTCAGATCTCCCCCGCTTCTTCCTTCCCCTTCCTCCACAGGTCCCCGCCTCCGACGCCGGCACGCCCCCGACGGCCAATAGGCGACCATTACCCACGCACTGCTGCAACTGCTTCCCCTGCCGGTGCCGGGCGACCACGGCCACCATTTCGCTCGATCTCACAGAACTCACCTCAAATCCACCCCCGTTCTCCTCTCCCTCCCTTTCTCCAGAGAAATCCGTATCTGGCTACGTCCTCCCCTACCTTCAGCCGATATAGAAAGAGAACCCACCACCACCTCTGACCAGGAGTAGCAAACCGAAATGACCTCCGGGCCTGGGAACCCCCTCCATTTATAGGCGCTCACCCTAACCCCTCACCCCAACGGATGGGGACGGAGTAACCTTGTCCGTTTGTCTTTATCATCAGCTCCCCCGCCCCCGAGCCCAAGACGATGGGCTTGAGCACACAGATCAGCGCAAAAAGGCCCTTACCACATAAATCATTGGAGAAGGGCCCTCACGGAATGGATTTTCCTTTTCTCTCTCTCTCTCGCCTTGGTCGGGAGTCTCGGAGGGGGAATAATCTATTGCGTATCTCATTAAATTATTTTCTTACTTATAAATTCTCGTCGTATTTATGTTTGCAATGGCCGTCAATGTGGATATCCTGAACGGTGTATATGAATATTCGAGCATAATATATTTAATAATGATAGTAACACTACGTCTTTGGGTAAAAAAGTATGATGCATTGGAAAATGAAAGAGTAAATGATTGATTGTGATACAGAGAAAAATCAAAGGCTGAGGATCAAAGTAGTAAAGAAGAAACCCTCTATTCTAGCGGGCCCAGGAGCAGTGCAACATTACCGAACATGGTAGTTGGCACACCTTTCATGCTTTATTCCCGATGAACGATGCCGATTTATATTTTCTTCATTAGCCATAAAAATAAATGCGAATTCGGTAAGATTACATGTCAATGAGTGGGTTGCTTCTTTTCATTTTTGGCATTTCTTTTTTATTTCATAGAGAATAAGATTAAATAAGATTCGGTGTGTGAGTGCGTGTCTATGTAAAATTGTGTTGGATGGGCATACTTTTTTGTTTATATTCTAGTTTCATTTAAATATAATATTCATACAAAAAAATTAACTAGGGGTGAATAAACGTGTGTGGACCTAAGAGATCACACAATATGACATTAGGTACCAAGAATATTCATTGTGTAACATGTGTGTTGATGGAGGGGATAATGATGGAGGTGACGTTAAGGGAAAGAATTTTTTTTTAATGTAAAACAGATCGATCCTAATAGATGCACACCTAAACAGATCGATACATTCGTTAATATCTCCAAAACAATGTCCACCTAGTCAATGCATAGGAAATATTGAATCAAATGATAGAAATGGCTACTTAAACCAGATTCAATCGAACAACTTATCACAGTTCGTTCATAGACCTATGAAGGTTTTGACAGAGATCTGTTTCTCAAGAAGTTGGTCCAAACACCTGCTTACTTCCGCGGCTGAGTCCATTTCATATCACCGTAGCTTAGTTGATGCGAGATCTTGGCAGTTATCTCCTAATTAATCGACTGACAAGATGTAAATCAATAACTTATCTCCAACATATTTTATCCATCCGTTAATCTGCGCACGGGTGCGAGGGGAGACGTTTCTTTTGAAGGCAGGGAACATGGAATCTTCCTTGATAGGGGACTCCAGCACGTGTGCATTTCTTGACCGGAATACTCGGTTTTCTCGCTGACCTCCTCGGACAATTTCCGTGGAAATCGCCCCGGTTCGTGATCCTCTTCCGGCTCAGTTGTCCCTTTGACGATGACGACGAATTCTACGGAGCGGAGTAGACTGTGAACGCCGTCGGGGTTCGAACGTCAGCGTCGCGGCTGGAGTTGAACAAGGTGAGACGATCTAGTCAAAAGGTCAACTATCGAGGTCCAACTTGGGTCAAAATTGGAGAGTCGTTTGCGAACGCCGAGTAGCCTGGTTGCTTAGACTTGGTTCGGAGAAGCAGCCGAGTAGCCTGCCATGCAGCGAAGTGGGTAAACTCCGTTGTCTCCCTCTTCAAACGGCGGCGACCGGGGGCTGTGTACATCGAACCAGACCCTGAGTTATCGTCGTCGTCGCCGTGCTGTTCTTTCAGTCTCTGAATGGAGGAGAACATTCCCTAGCATTCGGCGATAACATGGACGGGCCTCGAAAACCGGCTGCAGACCAAATGAGACCGTTGAAGGGGCCGTGATCTCCTCCTCAAGCGTCGTCTGTACGGGGGGGACTGAAGAGCGTTTTGGAAGGGTTAGGGTCAGGCTGATGATTCAGGATTATGCTTTTCAGTAGGGGATTATCCATTACAATATAGTTCCATACGTTGCTATACTATAGCTTCGAACTACACCATGATTTAGTATATGCATTGATATCGACTCCTCAGGGGGAGCCAGCTGGCACCATGCATTCATTAGTAAGATTTTCTTTCCATTCAAAGAGAGAGAGAGAGAAATCAGAGGGAACAAATGTTGATCATTATATGTTACGTTTTTTCTTAACCCCTTGATAAGCTCTCATGAAACGTTTGGAACACTGAAGTTACTCCATCCCGTAATCTCTACCTTTCGTCACACGGACGAACATACACATATTCATGACTATCCATGCGTGTCTGTATCGATATTCATAGTTATATATGTATATAAATCTATGGTTTATTTATCTGGAAAGAGAGAAAGAGAAAGAGGTGGAAATGCTCAAATTAATACATCCGATTCTCGGCTGCATCGTGTATTCTGGCCAAGCACATCACCCATGTGCACACCACTTATTACGGAATTAAAAAAAATAAACTATTGCTTATATGTATTATGTTTTATAAAATCAAGACGTGTACCTGCTCGAGGCGGCAGTTTGGGGACATTTAAAAAGTTCGGGACTGATTTCTATACAACACTTTTTCGATCAGATTGGAAAACGACAGGGAATCCAGAATGAAGTGAATGAGCTCGTGCATATCAACTATAAATACCAGAACTCATTGAAGGAAATTGGTTTTATATATGAAAGCATTCAAGAAGTAGAAATTGGACCTATTAATGATTCAAATTTGCCATAATGGTAAAGCAAGTTATTTTTAGGCTGTCGTGCTAACGATCATCGTACTTCCAGCCGCCGTTCAAAGGCATCGTCAGTGAAGTATCATTGAATGCGAATCATGAAGGCGGGCAATTTAAAAAAGGATGTACACCTCGCGGTATTCCGTGGTGATGTGATACCACAAGTCAATAGCAGGGCTCGTACAATTTGATGGGCACCCATCGCTGTGGGCACGGGCTTCGAGTCAACTACACCTGCCTTCGTGCCGAAATATTCAAGATTGGCGTCATGCCACACATGAGACCAGGCCTTTCCTCTTTCTAAATTTGACGGCTCGTTGTCCCGTGACTGGTTCGTGCCGAAAATTTGACTTGTTTTCTAAGAGAGCCGGCGCCGTTTGTTGGCATGTGGGGACGTCCATTTAGGCGGGGTGTCGGGGAGAGGCAGCTCCTTGATTTAATACAGAGCTTACTCATTTGATAGATTTTGGTTATTGGAATATAAGGATTTGGCATGGGCATCGATCTTCTCACGTGCTTAAGATTATGAGTGAGGATTACGTATGCAAATTTCTACGAGCTGTATACTTCATTTCATATCTCACACTAGTGATGACATTTAAGGGTTTGAAAAAGGAGGAAGCCACCTCTCATGGCTAGTGGAACCTTCCATATTAATGACAGAATCTACGCGCTCGGTCCTCACGAGATTCAGTTAAGGCCTCCAATCCATGCTTATCTTCCTCCTCCACGTTGTCTTCTGCAACCCTTCAAGCGTCAGGTGTCAAACTCCGTCGTAAGTCCGGGGTCTGCCGACGACGACTTCGTCGTCGACTTTTCAAGGGCCAGCACGCTGCTGCAACATGATCCAGCCCTTACAACGCCCACCGGGAGATCGTGATGGAACGAGTGTCACGTCTGCATTAAGATTTTTCCTAATATTTCTGTCTATCTATCTCCTAAAACTGAGTGTAAATTGGAGTTGATAAACATACATACGTATATACGTACATATGTGTGTATATTAGAAGAACATCATCCGCTTGTAAAGTACGTGTATATAAGTATGATGATGATGACGGCGATGCACAATCGACAGTAGGAAAGGCCAAGATTTTGATGCATGAAAATCGATATACCTCAAGTTGCGCCATCCATTCTCACCCAGTCTAGGCGAGTACACGGACTAGTGCACTGTCGACACGCGAGCACATTGGATGCTTCGCTCGCGCGCCCCTAAGAGACAAACTCAGGATTCAGGCCTCTTGAATGTGCGGGTGTGGAGAGATCGAATCCGGATAGACTTTGGGGAAAGAACATGCTAACTTTATTAAAAATTAAGCTAGAAGACGATCGTAGCAGAGAAACTTATCTTCAGTCTTCCAATTGTTCGATTGTTATGGGTCATTTAAATGATTATTCACTGACTATTTCATGGCATAGGCCTAGTTCATTGAAAAATAAAACCTCATCGAGGATAAGCCCAAAAACAAACGTCACCATTAACTGTTGTAACCTTTTTCAATAATCTTTGTAGAAAATAGAAAATTTCATACTTACAAAAAGTTTTATAAATAGACAAGAAGATACATCATAGTATGTACACATCTCTCTCTCTCCATCGCTCTCTCGCTGGATGCCCTTATCCTCACAACTAACTTTCTTTAGGAGAAAATTCTATCTGATCGACGTTAAAAGTCAACTAGTGCGCCAATTTTCGGACGGCTGCTCTGGCCTGAAGCATTGAGCTGAAGAGACATCTACTCTTTAATAATTGTATGGTCTACGGGATCCACTCGACCAGATTGGGATCGTGTCAGCATTGGGCAGCTTCCGACAAGTTTCCATGGACTGCAAGAACTGGCTTGCCTGGTAGTGCCAGCTTCCAGTGGGCACCGTGTTTTTCCTGCTCTAACAAACGTAACATGGGATTCCCATTCTATGAACTGATTCGGCCACCGTGGGCCGCCGAATCCGCAACCGGCAACACGGGCCTTCTCCACGGAATATCGTCAGCATCCTCCCGGCAGGTCACGACAACGTTCTCCGGGCTT